TCATGACCTGAGCTGAAGGCAGACGCTTAATGACTGAACCACCCAGGCGCCCCATGTTTGCCAGATTTTCTTCATCCTGAATGAATTCAACACTTTTTTTTCTTCCCTATGGAACGCAAAGTTGCCCATGACACATTCATGAAAACATCATGCTAGAGCCATGAACTCAGGTCTTTCTTTTCCTCACAAATAATCCCATTTCTGATCTACAATCTTAACGAGAGGCCCAGAGTCCATTCATATGCTCTCACTCTTTTCCCTCGTTTAAATTCTATTATTGTGGCTTCATAACTTTCCTTTTCTTTAGTCTGTGGGCAAACTTTGACAGCCTGAGTCCTTGGAGGCATTCTCTAATCCCCACAGCCACTGACCCCTCCAAGAATACAAGTGCACAAGGGAAGCTGCCTTGCCCCCTTAAGCTGCAGATTCTTCCCCTCCACTACCACCCCATTCCTCTGGGGAAGGGAGGGGAAGGGAAGTCCCTTTGAAAGAGCAAACAGAAGAGAACTTGTCTAATGCAGACTCATAATTTAGAGAGTCTCCATGACTCACTGGTTTATAATGTTTAAGACATGCTGGGTAAATCTGCCTTCTGTCTTTTAGAACATTGCCCCCGGACAGCAGTGCGCAACTCTCTTTAGGAGCCCTCGAGATATGAGAGTGAAAAGGCTTTTTCGACCATCAGACAAAGAAGTATTGAATTTTCCTGAACAACAGCAAGACCTTAGCCGAGCAAGCTAATGCAATATTGATCTGAGCAAGAGTGGATGCAGTATTCTTATCCATCTCCTGTGTGTGCTCATTTGTGTATTTACATGAACACAGCTATTGGATTTCCTACTTCCGTTATTATAGACCCAAAGGCCAAGGACATGAATGGAAACTGTCACAAAAACAGCAGTAGAACTCAAAGATTGTATTCTTGAATAATTTAAGCAAGCAATGTGTGCTAAGCAATCTCTTGTGGGGACAGTAGGTCCACAGTGATCATATCTTTTCAGGTGTGAAGGCAATACAGTATTTATGCTGTTTAAAGGATATACCAGCAACCCTGAATGGCAGTACCCTGTTCTCTGTATTTTTCCATTAATCTTTCCAGTAATTATAACCCCACCTCTGAATCAGAAAACTTCTGCCCCCTTTCGATATGGATAAAAAAGGGCAGGAATCTACTATGAAGATGTACTTTTAAAATGAGGCATTCTGAATAACTAAACAAGGAAGGGAATCATTTCGAAAAGGTACAAAATAGACCATGTACTCTTCTCCTACAATAGTAAACTTTTTGTTGGAGAATATCTGGACTTTGCAACTCTTCCCCAGAAAAAAAATGTGCACATTTGTGTCATTTATATTTTGGAATGTGTATATTTTGTGCTGATATCACTTTTATATTTCTATCTCAGAAGGTTAATTTTAATATTAATAGTAAGTCAATAAAAACCAAACAGAACTCAATCTAGTTTTCCTGAAACCTATTCCTTAAATAGTTGATAATTTTTGGAATGTAGGTAACAACTGCATTTCCAGTTCTTTGGCCCAGCCTAGATGGAAAGCTGACTTCATGCATGCCCACACGATGTGAGCTAAGCATTCGTGTTTGGCTCCATAATTCAGCACAAACATTTGCAACACCCACCAGGGTGGCGCGCTCAGCTCATGGCTCACAAACCATATGTAAACTTCCACCAATTACTTCAGGGTCGCTACTTGTGAATCCGTGGAGCTTCAGAGAGTGATACATGGGGATGTGTGATTCACCCCGTGCATGCCTCGGATTTTGAGTTCGGGAGTAAAATTGCTTTTCTTCAAAGTCAATCTGAATCAATGAATAGCTTTCAATTACTTAGTCATCTCATTCAATGTGTATGATAAAACGCAACCTAAAAATCACTTGATGGTTGAAAGCCTTCAGCATGTTCTGGTTGTTGTTTTTAGAAGGGGTATCAAAGAGTAAAAGCAGTTTTGTTGGCAAGGAACTGTATGTGTTGAACTAGTATGACAAAAATGTTTCTAGTGCCACTGACAAGAAACCCAGGAGGGGCAGTCTGCCATTTTGCCTAAAAACGAGAGAGCTGTTTTTGCTGGCGTAGGCTGGACGAAGCCAGATAAGTTTTAACAAATATACAAACACAGTTTTCACATTCCAAGGCCAGTTTTCTCTGGGAATAAGTCAAGTGCACCATAGTTTAAAACATGAGAATTGCAAGGCTGATAACTCTTATTGTTAATTGTTCCTCGCTTCAACTCAGTGATTTTCTAGAGCCAGAAAATTACTACTTTGAAAAACCCTTGACACTAATAACAATGTGCTTCTTTCTGAAAGTATTCTAAATAAGTTGGTTGATTGGACCTCCTTTTCAGATGTCAATTTAAATGTAAGTTCTGGAAAGGAAGGCTGCAAATTTGGGTTGTGAACAAACAAACCCATTATTAAATGTTCCAACTATTATTACAATACTATTATAATATTGTTTTCCTAATTATCAGATTGAATACTTGGAAATCAATCAGCACTCTGTTTGGGCAAATCTCATTACTTAATGAATGAGTTTCGATAAGATCATCATAACCCTATTTATATAGTAATAGACCAAAGAAGAAACTAAACCAGTGATAGCTCACCCATTTACTCCAATGACAATATAAGCTTTCTCTAAACCCAGTTTATCTCCATTGCTGTTTACTGCTGAGGAACACAGCTGAATTGAATTACCTTGATAATTTTAATGTCATTTCAAAGGCAAAGGCAGTCTCTTTCACGTGATACTTGCCCTTCATTTACAATTTAATATTTATTTAAATATTCCTCCCTCCAGCCTGATCATAATATCTGACTTTATTTTAGAGATGGTTATACATCTCTAACTGCATGATTTGTACGAACTTCCAAGATGCCCTTTCTGATCTGTGTAGAGTGTGTTCTCTAGAGAAATCTTAATATTAAACCAGACTAAACACAAGACAAGTAATGCAGCTGCAACAAATTATTTGATATTATCTCCCTCTGTTCAGGATTTGGGTGTGTATTTTTGCCATTCACCTCCTAATTCACAAGGAATCAAATGGAAAACTTTCATTTAGCTGTCCACATGGCTACCCACCCCCTTCTTCAAATCTTTACTAAAATGGCATTTTTTGTAATAAGGCCGAACCTGACCACCTTATTTAAAATTTCAACCTACACATCCCTCTTCCTAACCCTAGCACTTTTCATGCTTTTGCTCTCCTCTACTTTTTCTTTCTTTCCATTTTTGCTGCTGTTGTTGTTTATAGAACTTCTCACCTTCTGACATTCCAGTCACATAATTCATTCATCTATAATGTGTATTGTTTATTGTCCCGTTCCCCTGGCAGAACTGAAACTCTGAGAGGGCAGTCATCTTTGATTGTTCTATTTAGCAGGTGGCTAGATCAGCGCCTGGTACGTGGTAGGTGTTCAGTCAATATTTTTAAAATGTAGGATGAATTTAGATGATAAGAGCAATGTAGATAGAGGATGTTTTGAGGCGATTCAAATTGCCAAAGATAAAAATTCCCTAGGAGCAGACAAGGAATCTGTCTAAATTAGCAATGCCCCCCACCCACCCCAAAATTAGGAATGTCCAAAATTCTCATTCCTTTTCTAAATTTCTAAATTTTTGGTAACTACGTAACAGACGCACATTTCCCCCTTAAAATTGTATCAAGTGCTTAACCTCTCTGGTCCTTAGTCTCTGCATTTGTAAAGTGAATGGTTTGACTTAATTGCTCTCTTAGGGTCTATGAATTAATGACCAGTAGGAAGGTCAATGAAATGAGCAAAATACTTTAGTCAGGAAAACCACGTGTTGGTCCCAATTCTACCACACACACATGCACACAAATGCTATGACACCATGTATAATCTTTCATGGCCTCAGTTTCCTTATCTATAAAATGAAGAAATTGGACAAGATAATTACTGTCTTTTAAGTTCAAATATTTCATTGCTGCTGTGCATAAAGAGAGTTACCATTTTGGTTTCTTTTCCCTCCTCCTTTTGAGCTATTTTTTTTTTTTTTAAATGATGCATGTATCATGACACTTGTAAAAGGATCCGAGTGCCCTTCCCCCAGATTCTTCCCTTTTTGGGATGCTTCCTGCCCTTCTTACCATCAGGGAATCCATCCCAGATTTCCAGCCGGTCATAGCGACAGAACATCCCCCCTGGAGGATTTGAGTCGAGCTCCAGGTCAAAGCTTTCAAATTCCAGGATAATCTCTGACATCTTTGGTGCAAAGATAATATAAGTGCATTCAAGGCTGTTGGGATATTTTTCAGGGAATCCAGGCGACTTTATCACTCCATTAGGTGCTGTGTAATTCTGGGAACATTCAGGACCTGTGAGTAAAAGAAAAGAAGGAGCAAAGTGAAAATCCCACTCACACGACTTCACCAAGAAATAACCTGAGCAAAGGCAGCATATCTTTCTAATAAAAGCTTACTATTATAATCACTGTCCTAATCATTCATTACTCAGCCTTTTCATAGGAGTGATAGGTATGGAAAGTCAAGTTCAGATTTATTGTGTTCCCCTTAGTTTTCCATTTGTGTGAAGCAATTTAAAAACTTCTGCTGTTGCAGAGGAAAAAAAGGACAAATATAAAATCATGTGGGAACAATGAATGAGTAAGCTACAGAAATCTCGACAGAGCCCTAGAGAAATAATTATAGCCCCTTCAAGCTTGAATCTTTAAATCTTGAGGCTGACAGCCCTTTATTGGTGAAATAGAACATTTACAAAGGCGAGGGAGAGAATTCAGTGGAGGGAGTTTGGGTTTCAGATTCCTACAGCAGTGACTCAGTAACTCTGCCAGATGTGACCTATGCCTCTTTGACAAACTAAATGTGAAAGGTAATTCGTACATGTACCCAGGGTGAGTGACTCATTCTGAGTGGTGTTGACACAGGTGTGCTGGTAAAGTGTGGCTGTTAGTGAGGGCACGATAAACTGTGATTACAGGCCGTGTTGCTAGAAGTCACTTGATATCAATGTTGACATCGTTGCCTTCCCCAAAGTATCAGATACAGCGTCATTCTAAAATTATTTTTTAATATATATGTGTGGGTGTATAATGTGTATATTTATAGAGCATAATTTTAATGACTAGTCAGTGTTATCAATACAAATTATGGTAATTTGTAATTTAAATTGGTCAAGCTCATACACACATATATTGCAAGTTGACCTTTTGACGGTACGGATGACCACAGTTTCAGTTCACGGCCTCCAGGACCACATGGGGTGGTCCTCACCACCACTGAAAATGGCCCATCTACAAGACTGTGAGCACCTCAGCTTGGTCCTTTCCACTGCCACCACTGCCATGATTTTCAAAGAGATCTTAAGACTCTCCTGGAATCAGAGATGACTTGACCCTTTTGAACCTCAAATCCAACCTGGGGGAATGTCCAATTCAACAATTCTTTTCCTGGGCCATTGTCTCACTGATGGGCATCTTGTGATGGTATGCATGGGTTCAACCCTAAATAAGGAGGTTTGTTGAGAGTGTTCACAACTAAATATTCTCCCACAGAGCCAAGTACTAGAGGCAACAGTGTGGTCATCAATACAGATTAAATTTAACTAGCAGATCTCTATTTTTAGTGTCTAGGGTTGGTAGACTGAATCTCCACCTCAGTGCATCTGGCAGCCTTTTGAGTAAACAAATCAATTTCTTGCTCCCCATGTACATATTAGATGTCTATGGCCCTGGAGATGCAGAAGAATAAAACGTATTAACTGTGCACAATAAACCTGGCCTGTAGAGGTCTGACTTGTTTAAAATGCCTCTGAAAGCCTTTTCAGATGTGGCTCACCCTTCACCATGATGGCTTCAGATACTTATCTATTTGATTATAGTTAAAGTTACTAACATGTGGCATTTTACCATGTCAATTACAGGTGAGAAGATTATGAAATGTGCTATACTGTTTATAATCTGTTTCCAAGTTAATGGGTTGCTTCTAAGAAGACAGTGACTATGCTAATGTAAACCATCAATTTACAAATAATATATATATGATAATGGAAACCCTTTTATTTTTTTTTTTAAATGTAGGAACAATGACCCTGGAGACCTCCAGCTTCCTCCCCAGGGCAAAAATAATGCTTGGCTAGGCCCTTGTAAGGCAAAGCTGATAGCAGGGTTTCATTCAGATACTAATATTTTCTCCTTCTTAAAAAAATAAAATGCCTAGGCGAGATCAAGATTTGATGAGAGAAAAAAAATGACAAGAATTAAGGGCATACTTTTTTTTTTTTTTTAAAGATTTTACTTATTTATTTGACAGAGGAAAGAGAGAGAGAGAGAGAGAGCGCGCACAAGCCGGGGGAGCAATAGGCAGAGGGAGAGGGCGAAGAGGCTCCCCGTTGAGCAGAGAGCCGGATGCGGGGCTGGATCCCAGGACTCTGGGATCATGACCTGAGCAGAAGGCAGATGCTCAACCAACTTAGCCACCCAGGTGCCCCAAGGGCATACTTTCAAAATCAAATAAATTTCAATGCTTTCACTGAAGCTAGCCCAGGTATGTGACAAAAATTGGAGAGATTCCATGGGGTAATGGAAGAGAACTGGATTGAGCACCAGATCTGAGTTCCAGTGCTGCCTTTACTGCTAACCTGCTGTGTAAACTTAGGTGGCCTCCTAACCTTCCTTGTCCTCAGATTCTGTGTATAACAACTGGGAGGTGGGCTTTGGGATTTGGAAAAAAGAGCCCTTCAAACTTAAAGATTCTATAATTTCCTGCTTCCTCCAGTAAACATCAAGATTTGTGTTGATATTTTTCTTGTTCACTGTTGTATAGGCTTGCCACTGTTGAGCAAGCACTTCCCAAAAAGGAGCAAGGCAGGGGCCTGGGTTAAGGAATTCTGCAGAGAGTACACGAGCACTAAATAGGAGGGAGTCTAGCAGCCCCACATGCCTATGAGGGAGTGAGCTGCTGCTCGGAGAGATGCACACGTAGCATTGGCAGCCCGTGAGCACTGCGCTTTTGATGTTATTTGTAAGACTTAGGGGACCTTGTGCAGCTGTAAGAAGGCCATGCTTCATTGTTAATGACATTAGGATATACAATAATAATAGCTAAGATACTCTCTTTGGAGATACTCTTAACCAAATAATATAAGAAGTGACCAATCTTGCTCTCAACAAATGTGCCTTCCCCGCATAGAAACCCACAGAAAATGTCTCCAGCTTCTTCCAGCAGTTGAGCTGAGATGACTCAGGCCAAGGGAAGAACAGAGGAAGAGTGATAGGTTGGGAAGCATGGGTTTCGTGGAGAAATTTTTTTAAGTGAGTGGGAATAATTTTAGGGCAGTGGCCCAAGCTTTCAGCGTCTAGGAAAAGACATGGAGAAGGGGAAAGTGGGGTACCTGGGGAGAAAATTAGGTGTCCAGGGTGGCTCCAGGAGGCATGGGAAGAGGTGGGGACTGGCTTTGCTGTCAGTTTAAAGGTGGTCTTCTAGAAATGCAACCTTAGGGATGCAGGAATGGCCTAAATATTCCTTAGAACTGTAATCTATTGCCAGAAAACCTCAAGCTCGACAGGTGAAAAGACTCATTTATTGGTTCAACTATGATTAGTATAATTTATGTGTTTTGAGGAAACTTGAAATTGCTGCATTCTGGAAGAAGTGGTGTTTTTTTTTTTAAGGAGATTCATGGATTCTATAATATCATTAAATGGCTTTTGAGGAAAAAAATGTCCATGAACTTGTGTATGTATGCATAAGTGTATTGTGTTTAGTTAATGACTTTCTATGGAGCACCTATTAGGATGCAGTATGTACAGTGAGGTGGGGGGGAAGATATTTTCTTTGCATTTTTCAGGTGGTACCAATCTGGTTGGGAAATGGACTATGCACACATGAACAAATTTGAAAATATTAAGGAGAAACATAATGGTTAGTGAAACACATCTGTATATATATGTGTGTGTGTATATATATATATATATATATATAGTATGCATATATGTGTATTGTATGTGTGTGTTGTGTGCATGTGTAGGGAAAAGTTGGGTAGATATGTAGGAAAAAAAAGTAGAAGAATTAGGAAAAGCTTCCTGAGAAGAATAAGTTTAGAGCCAGGTTTCCCTGGAGGTTAAGGGACATAAACTGTTAGGGAGCAAGGGCTCTGAAATCTGATGGCACCATCTGTATCCATAAGCATTGTAATGGCTCGTGTTTACTGAAGACATTTTTGGTGACAAGCACTGGCTCCATGTTTCCCACGTTTTCATTTCAACTGATCTTCACCACAAACTTGTGCTAGACACTGTTGTCCATTTACCGGATAAGGAATCTGAGGCTCAGAACATTCACGAAGAGAGTCAAGGGCAGAATTAACTTCACATTTAGTCTGTTGGGCTTTACCCAGCACACTCTCTTTAGGCAGGAAGCTGAGTGTGGATCTGTGTGAGGTGAGGCTGGAGAAGGTTGGGGAGCACTTGATGTCAAGCCTTGAGCTTGACCCAATGGGACATTGAGGCTTGAATGAATAGGTGATGGACACCTGCCATAGGCATTTCAGGAACAGCGGCTTGATGACCATTCGAGAAGTTGTGTGTAGGATGAGAACACATAGGGAGAACCCAAACTGGGCCCATTCAGTTAATGGCCGTGGACGCGGAAAGGCAGCATGACTTTTGGAGACTTGTGGATATAAATTCAGAAGAACTAGAAGCCACATTGGATGTAGGGAGGCAAGAAGAGAAAGAAAAACTAAGGCTTCAAGTCTCAAGGGTGGTATAGGGAAAGGACAGTACCTCTGAGGCAATGGAAGCGTAGGGAGCTGAGTTCATTTGGAAGGAAGATGAGTTCTTAATGACTCAGTTACAGAGCTCTCTCTCTTTTCAACCATCTTCAGATCTTTGAGAAGCACTGCAAATGAAAGGCTACTCCTCAACTCTTTTCTGACCCCTTGTTTTCTTTGATAGTGCCATAGGCAGGTAAGCAAGCAAATGTAGTTGTGTGTATATGTGTGTGTGTGTACATATGCATACATGTACAATACGATTTATGTAACAGGTCAAGCAGCTTTCCACACAAGAAAGTATGTACATATGTAATCAGCTAGACATACTGATGTTGTATATAGACTATTATTTATGCTATAGGTTTTCTAAGTTTGTGCTTATATAAATTTTTGAAGAAAAGTTGTCTCCATCTATCCATACTTATATGGGGACAGTGTCAGATTTCTTTGAAATTTTAAGAAGTTGTACCAATGTTCCCAGAAACTCTTAATGACTCCTTTTTTTATTCTCAGTTGCTGCTGAGAATCTGTAATTGGTGTGGCTAGATTTTTTTTTCTATTAAAAAAGGCTTTCTCCTATATTCTAGGACAACACACTCAAACGTTGAACCTCTGGCCCTGGATTGCCACCCCCCACCCCCCACATTACTGTCAACTTAAAAGGGAAGGCTGAATTTAACACATTAAAGGAATCTACTAGCTCTTGTGAAAAACAGTGACATACAGATAAAGATACATTGTTTATCAATCGACTGATATGTGCGTTCAATTCCTCAAGGCTGGGAGACTATGAATTGTCAGATTCTATCCATCTCAGTATATACCATTGGAATAGATTACTAAGTGATTACATTGGAGGGGGAGAAGGATCTTTATTTCCTAAGGGGAATACCATTTAAAGCTTTACTGTTCTGTTTCCTCCAAGAGCTTCTTTCTTCAACTATTATTCTTCTTAACAGACATTAATAGAAAAGCTCTTCTTCCTTCAATAGCTTTAGAAACTCTAAGCCTAGTGAACTGCTTTGCTTTTCCTGGGAAATACCAGTTTTGAATTTTGTAATAAAACAAAGGGATCAGGATGTACATGGCTTTAAGGTAAAAGGGACTCACGCATTTTTAATGAAGGAAATCAAACCTCGAGAGCAGACTAGACTTATTTTTGAAGAAGCAAGCTAAGAATAAAGGCTCTTAAAAGAGTTTTACAGAATGCATGCCTTATAAACATTGGTCAGCATATTAGTATGATGCAATTTTGAGTCCTGAAATACTGAAAAAAATATTTAAACATAACTTCCTCCATACATCAGGTAGTTTTTCTTTGTGTAAAGTATTTTTCAACAGTTTTGTAGTGGGAATGTATGATTTTTTACAAAAAGATAAAAGTATTACGCCTTGTCTTCTTTTCGCTGTCTTTCATGGAATCAAACAATGTGAATGAACGTTGAGCCACACTTGTTCTACTGGAAGTCACTCACCTCTCTTGAAGATTTCATAACGTATGGAAAATCCAGCGCCATGTGTCTCATAGTCAGAGACAAATTTGATAAAAAGAAATGGCCCTGAAGACACTACAGGAGAAGGGGCGATCTTCCCACAGAACTTCCCCCATAAGCGTCCATTTTCATTTTCTCCATCGATGACTTCCACGTAATCATACCTAGCACATAAATATGGAAGAAAATAACAGGTGAGCGAGAAATGCCCTTCTAATTTGAATGATTTAGCAGGCAGCATCATCCAGCACAGGAAAACAGTGCTATCTGCATTCACCATTGTACTTCATGGAGGGAGAAAAATTCAGCAAAATGAAATAATTAAAATGGACTACATCATGTCTGTATACATCATCCGGCAACACAGAACTATTAAGAATAATGGTGTCCATTATACTTGCAGACAATGTCACTTAAAGTAACCAATTAACAAGAAAAAGAAAAATCTCCTGAGCACAATTCTTTATTATTAAATTGTGTTCCTTTGTCTATGGTGGTGGGGTGTCAATACATAATGCTATGCATTCTTTTCAAACTGTGAAGTTCTTTTATGAATTCAAAATGTCTCCTTGGCTGGAGCTCTCCATGAACAATACTTTGATTTCTGTGAGCGACCCTCTAAACATATGGCCACAGAATAATAAACAGATTCTTTACTATTTAACTCAGTTCTACCAAACTCCAGACTCTTAGGAAAAAACCCTCTCTCGGTATCCACAGTGGTTAAAACACAGATCATCTTCCCCCAAACTATCTGGAATTGCAGAACATAATCTCTCTGAAGAAGAACGTTTATTTAAAAATGGAAAGTTACTTTGTTTACACCCACCAGCCTGAATCTTTAAAGGAACATTGTTGTTTGAAAAGGAAATATGACACACTTGAAGTCATCAAAGTGATGTGATTAAAAAAAAAATTCAGGCTGAAGAATAATACACTGAGGAGACAAATGGTAAAGGAAGTCACGATAAAATATTATTCTAAATATTGCACTGAGTTAACACATATGTTTCTTTATCTCCAAAAGGTGGGGGGCTGTCTCCAGTAGACTGGCATCCTCCTGGAAAGCAGGAAGATTCTTGTTTGTTTGGTGTTATCCTTTTCTTAGTGTCTTTCTCTTTCCTCTCTTGTTATTTACCAAGTCGCCTAGGAGCCAGACAATCTGAGCTGTCTTCCATTTTTCTTCCAGAACTGACATGAAAACATTACAATCCGCTCATTTCAAACCTTCGTTTTATTTCTGTGTTTAACTTGGTTCAAAAGTCCTGGCATATATTAATTACAGGAATGGCTAAAATATGGCAGCAATATAAACTGTATCTGGCAATTTAAAAGAGATCAAAGTGGGGGAAATCTTCATGATGACCAATGTCATCTTTAACAATCTCTTTTCAAACTGCCCAGGACACATTACTTATGTTTACATAAAGCCTCACGAGAGAACTGCAAAGATGATATCACTAGTTAGAGTGGACAGCTTAAGGCTCTCTAAATTAAAAATGACATTACCTCATCAGTTAAAATTGTGTGCCAGCTTTGTGTATATCAAGAAGAAAAGAAAGCTGACATTGATGGAACTAAGCATTAACATATGTGAATTATTGTATTAACTGCATTTCCTTTGCTGCATCTGATGCTTCCAGTAGTAATCACTGATCTGCTAGCATCACTGTCCCTTTGCGAAACTATGGACATACACAGAGGAACTGTTCAGTTCTCGGTACTTTGGGAGATGCTTTGCATGTTAAAAGAAGATGAAGCAGGAGGAGGAGAAGAAAAAGTGGAGGATGAGGAGGAAGAAAGCATTAGGTTCAAAATCCTTATGAGCCTTTTACAGTCGACTGGGGGCGCCTGGAAAGAACAGCATCTCTGTATTCGTTAAAGCCTCCTCATTGGCATTTATGTAGTAATTCCTTTTATCTCTACTGCTTCATTGACTAGACAGGTCTGCACGCTTTGCCCCACGCTTGCTTATAATTTAACTGTGATTTGAACTGTTGGTTGGGTTGGGTCTGGTGACGATGCAATACAGGCTTTTTTACTTGAATCTTGGCATGGTCTGAATATTAAGTGGCCAACTCCGAGTGCATTTTGCTTTCCAGGCACCAGTAAGAGAGGTGGGTCAGGCTTTCCTAAGAACTAAGGGCGCTTCTGGGAGGAACCTTTTCTCCCAGGTAGGAGAGAGCTCAGCTAATATAGTGCTAGTGAGTTGCGACAGGGAAAGAAGCTGGTATTTTAATTCACGTATCTTCTAATAGTAAATACCAGGCTCTCCTCTTGGCAACAGGAAAAGCTATTTTTAAAAGGAGGAGAGGGATTAGAATCTCCTCCCAGCAAGAGATAAGTCATTTCATCATTAAGTGCCAATTTTAGGAAATGGAATTATTCAGGGATACAATAGTTACATGTATAAACTGGAATGCTGCTATCATTTTAGCACTTCCCTTCAAAGTACCATCCAACAAGGCCCCAAAGAGTTAAATAGCAGTTCATGTAAATATTCGGGAGGATTTAAGTGCACAAGTTGCAAAGGGTAGTACTGCCAAGGAAGTTAGGAAAGCAGCTTGCATCTCCCTCTGGAGTTGATACCAGTTCCACTCCATAAGTTTCTTGCTGGCAAACGTGGTGCCAGGAATGCAGTCATTGTGCCAGCATCCCTCCCTAGAGACTAAATGTGTCACCACAGCAACGCACCCAGCCTGCCTTGGCCTGAGGCCCAGGATCCTGAGTTTGCAAATTTCGCTCCCCCAGCCTGCTGTACATTGCTCTGTTACTGCTCCAGCGTGGCAGACTCTGCATTTCTTGGGATGTCCAAGATCCCCGGTCATGACAGCGGGACCTACGCAGGTGACAACAGGGGCATGTGTGTGCCTCTCATTCTGAACCGACACGTTACAGCTGCCGGAGGAGAGCTGGGAATTGCGTCTCGGGAATCTGACACACAAAAGCTAGACAAGGGGTCAGCAAGTGGACGCGTCTGTCCGTTCGGAGCCCTGCTCCAGAAAGCGAAAGCTCCAGGTGCCAGGGGAGCCGTGTCTGAGTCCAAAGGGCACCACCCTTCTGTGCAGGGGCCTGGGCCAGAGCAGACATGGGTCCCGGCCAGGAAAGCCCTTCCTCAAACCTCATCCTGCCCACTTACCATCACAGGAATGTAAATGTCATGTGGGTATTTTGAGTATTTCAGACGACAACCAACCTCTCCTCCCCCTTTAGGCATCCTGCCATTTCTTTTCTTAAATCTCCTGCCTAAATACTTTCTCTTTCTGTGCTCATAGTGGTAAAGCAGCCCATATTTACTAGGAACAAACTTTTTTACAATTAAAGGATACCTTCCCATGGTTCCCATTTTAGGGTAGAGTACGCCGGTGGTTCTTATCAGGAGCGTCCCCGGCTTGAGAGTGCAAGCTCCTTAAGCCAAAGGACTTTTTGTTCCCAGACTCCCCAGCTCTCACCCTATATGCGCATGGTGAAAACACTCTGAATCCTAATACTAATCACGAGTTAGGTTTCCCCTAAGAGTGATAAAAGAATAAAGATTTCCTTCTAAGAACTCTTGAAAGGATTACCCAGAGATTATTTTTTCTTTTGGAAAGTTTGAATTACAGTTTTAGGAAAATAGCCAAGTAGGGGGAGAAGTGATGGGAAAATGAGAAATGTACTCAGTCACTAAAGAGCGGTTTCAGAGGCTTTATAGGTAAGCGGTGCTGAACAGACGGATAGCACATTTTACTCAAGTCAGGTTTTCTCTTGCGAGTACAAATGACCCCTGACTCTCCGTGGTGGAGCCCGCTAATGGAAAGAAAGCTAATCCTCTGCAGGGTGTTGTCTGGACGGGGGAGCTACTGTACCAACCCCTCACAGCTCCTGGACATGCTCGCATGACTAGGTAGAGGGGTTATAGGTGCTGGCGGCTTTTTAATCTCCTTCCAGGAGGATCTACCCCCATGTGCATCTGTACATTAATAATGGAGAAATTTGATACCTGACATCATAAACCAGAGTGAGAAATGATGTTGGCTAACATAATTTTCACCTGCAAAAATGTGTTTCTTTGGATCTTTGGTTTATTTTGCACCAGGCATTAATAGCTATCCCTACTGAACAACCTGTAAACGATTACTACGCCACTGTCCAAGAATTACCTTACATATTCCCCAGAAGAGAACAGATTTTACTCTCAGAGCATTAGAGAGAGGATTTGGAAATAAAAATATACAATGATGGAGCTAGGAGGAGCCAATTAGTCTGCATCTGTGTTTCTGAGCGATTTTACATGAGATTCACCCCTAAGTTCTGGCTTGCTTGCAGTGTCCTAATCAAGATATATGAAGAGGCTTACAAGGTTCATAGCCTCTTATTTAGTAAAAGCAATTTTGAGAAATCCATTCAAAGGAAATAACCTGGAATAATGTCAAATATTTATGCAAAACCAATGCCTGAAGCTTTATTTAGAATAATGGGGGGAAAATGGACATAAGGCAGGCAGGCAGGAAAAAAACAAGAAGAAATTTATATACAATCATATCATGGAATATTATTCAGTCATTAAAAAGCCTATTCAATAAAATATTTTTTATAACATAGGAAAAACGTTAATGATATCATTAAGTGAAAAATCAGAACATAAACCCCTATCTACAGTATATTCTCAGTTCTTAGTCATATGCAGAAAAAGAACTGGAAGTATGTCGAGCCGTGTGAATAAGCGATTATCCTTAGTTATTTCTGTATTTTTCAAAATTTTTACAATGGGTAAGTGTTCCTTTATTTATTTATTTATTTATTTATATTTATTATTTAAGTATGGACCCCAATGTGGAACTTGAACTCACAACCCTGAGATCAAGGCCTGAGCTGAGATCAAGAGTCGGATGCTTAACCAACTGAGCCATCCAGGCACCCCAAGTAAGTGTTCCTTTGTAACCAAATAGAAGTTTTTTTGAAAATTATTAATTACCTATATATAAAGTAGCAAATCAATACCTATTGCCTAGCTAATAATTTTTTTATTTCTTGATCAGAAGACCCTATTTTTTATGATGTTTTATTTGGAAGTAAATCAAAGGCTTTACCTTTTTTTTTTTTTTTAAACAACTAGATCAAGGAAAGTCTCTGTGTGCTTTTTTTATTTATTCATGAGAGACAGAGAGAGAGAGAGAGAGAGA